AATTACCTTAGCATCTACAATCGAATCACAACTTGATTAATGATGCAATCTTGCTACTTTTAGGCGAAGGTGTATAAATTAGAGTTAGCTCATTTATCGATAAAACTAATGGAACAATAAATACTTCAATATTAAAATTAATACGATAATTTGTAGTTTAGTTACGAAAAATATTGAAGTATCAAACTCTCTATCGTATCAATTACTTATAGTTTATAGTCCTTCAGCTATATTAATTAATCAGTTATTAAGGCCAAGTTTAAGTTAAAACTGTTATAGAAAAAATCACACGCCTTGTCTTTTGTAGACGTTATGGATTAATCAGTGTAAAATATTGATGCTAGAATATTATCCCAAATTAATATGTTAGACGAAGTCAATGTAACCAAAAATCTTCTAACCCTTATATTTTGAGGTTACTATGAATGGATACCAGACAAGTAAATTTCATCTATAATGTAAACTCATCAATTATTTTGAAAAAAAGACGTAAATACCATTATTTGAATTCTTCAGTTACAAACTTAAAGGCTGATCCACTTTAATCAATTTATTATTTTAAACATATATTATGTTTCTATAGCCGGTAAGTTAATCTAAATACAGATAAATATAGCTATTATTTACCTACTAAGCACAGCCGTTTTCACTGAGTATAGAATAGGATTTAGTCTTGATAAATGTAATTACGATAGTATTTGTGAGACCAATGTTGCCTCAGGCTACATTTTTGCATGAATCTATATTATCATCAAATAATTGTTTTGCATCAATATTGTGTATTTTAGATTGGTAGGATATTGTTAGATATATGGATAGCAGGTTCAAATTTTTGCTCTTTTTTCCTTTGTATTGTCGTAGATCTTAGCCGATCAGCCTTGGCTGAAAAAATTTCGAAAGAGAAGCAACATCTCCATGTATTCTACAGTGGCAGTAACGGATCCATCTAATCGCCGTAGTGTTACAGATTGGAGGAAAGACATCGATTTAAATAGTAGTAAGTAGTTTAGTTATTTCTACGTAAAGCAATATTTGATAGAATTTTATCGCGAGTTTGATGAAAGGTATTGAAAAATGTTTAATCAGTTCTTTTTATCCCTGAAACTATTGATTTATCTGTCTAAAGCTAAGCTTAAATAAATCATTTGTTAATATACTATACTGATGCTAAAGCTTTAAAAATGTTTGTGTACAAGATCTAATTCAGTCAATACCTAATTACATTTATTAGATTAATATTGCATCTATTATTAAATTAAATTTAAAATTCGATACACTAAAATCTAGATTATCGAATTTCTTGTAGAACTTGATGCTACATTTTCAGTGCTATGTACTGCTACATTATTCTTAGTTCACCTTTTATATGACAACTAGTCATCTTTCCAACTACAAATTGACCATTATTATTAATTTTGCTGATATAAATATCGAATTGATATGCATATAAATTAATTTAGCCCAACCTTAGGCATCTATATAGTATTAAAGCATACACATTTTTATATCGCCATATAGTTACTGATTAATTAAGAATAGTTATGATTGCACGCGTATATAATTAAAAAGCTGATATTTGTACAACTACATCATTAGTATAGTATTCAGGTAAATCGTAAACTCGAGTTAAAATATAGGATAGTTGTAAAAGATACATTATAAATAGCTAACTACTAGTTACATGTCCTAATGGCTATGTATCATTTTCAAATATAGGTCAAACAGCACTCGATGATGAATACAGCCATAACAGTGATCATAACTATAAAAATCATGATGTGCCAGATATAAATGTCCATCAATACGAAGTCCATGGGCAATCGCCGATATATCGCGATCAAGAAAAATTTTATCAAACTCCTCCTCAGATGAATGGTACACATTGCTCTCGCCAAGAATATGAAAGTATGAAACATAATTTAAAACTGTTGAAGAAAGAAAAAGAAGAAATGTCTTTTCAACTGAAGGTAATACGCGTATAACTGTAGTCGATGGAGTAAAATTTATTTTTCATTTAGAAATTGACAGTAAATTCCGTGAATCACCCACTGTTAACGACGGCGTATAAAATAAATTGCACAGTAATTTTAATAAAGGCACTGTTTGCATAAATGACTATAAAATGCTACCTATTATAAATCGACTTATTAGATCTCATTTCTTTCGTTTTTAGAATTTCCGAGATAAAAATCAAAATTATAAAGCAATGCTATATAAAGAAGTTAACGATAAAAAATCTCAGATTAAGCTAATTAAAAGCACGCATGAAGCCTATAGGATTGATCAAACGAAATTGGTCTTTAAGTTACAAGATATCATTCATAAATTAAAATCTTATAACGCAGCTTTAGAATCCAAAATTCGTGGTGAATGCTTGGATAATAGCATGAGACCTATTAGTATTGATCCATTAATTCAATCCATAAGTGAGCTGCAAGCCGACAAAATGGCACTTATTGAACAATTAATGACCACAAAAATAGAATTAGAAAATGTCAAAAGGGAATCAGCAATAAATATGGATATGTACAGCTTGCCAAGGGAGCACAAAAGACTATCGTTAGATTTGCAATCGGGATCATTTACCTCAATGTCGACGCCCTTAACAAGTCCAGTAGCTGTAAGGCCTCCAACGCCACCTGAGGTATTCCATGATCTGAATTGTAGAGTATAATATCTTTAAATATACTTTCAAACCATACTATAATATTTTCCCTATGGAAAAATAACGAGGATTATGCCCAAAATATTTCATACAATTATTGATACTACGATTGTAAGATATTAAAAATGAAGAATAACAATATGCCTGATATTTCTATAAGTAATTTACCATACTACTGCTCATTCGTGATTTACAGGTACCAATAATTCATATTATTGATGAAGATACTAAACAAGTAACAGCATTAAGGGAAGAAATTGATATTCTAAGGATCGATATAGAGCATTATCAAGGTAATGTAAATGTCGTCTATACTATTATACAGTTAAAGAAACATTATCCGCTATAATTTGATGAAATTACCCTACATAATGTAAATAGCAATTTGCTAAATGGTATAGCCAAGACCTAGGTTAATTTAAGTTTATGTGCCATGATCATCTTTTAATAATTCCCACTGTGATATACTCGCTTAGTTAATTCCATCAAGCTTCTTTTACCAGTCGAATTCCTTTATTTTTATATTATTGGAGATTTTATTTTAGGTGGTAATTTATTTGATTACAATCGTGGAACTCTTTCTACTTCTTTAAATAAAGATATAGTTGATGTAATCATAAGTACAGAATTTAAAAGATCAGGAGCTAAAAATTCAAATACCGTAGCATAACTACATGAGTATATAAGTAAAAAGGTCCAACTTTAGTCTTATCTTCAATATTTTAGGAAAAAATAAATTTCCAAAAGATTGATGGTTTAACACATCATTGATAATTATAATGATTTAACTTCGGATTATTTCAATTCTAGAACAAGTTGTCGACAAAGAAATCACCGAAGCTGAAAATTCTGAATTGAAACAAAAACTAAGTCTATTGAAGACTCGTCTAAAACAATTAAGAAGATCTGCTGTAACAGCTGACAATCATACAGATGGTGACCTAGTAAGTGGAATAAATTATTGCATTAAACGAGTATAATGTAATGCTAAGAATTTTTTTATACTATGGCTCAATCAAATGAAACATTGCCTTATTATTCGATAAACTGTTTCTTACTCTTTACCTAACTTCTATCTTATATTCGATAGCTCTCTTCACCTGATAACAGTGAAGATGAAGCGGCAGCCAAAGCTTCATCGACCCGAATCAGACGATTAAGTACTTCTAATTTAGATAATTACGTAAGTTATGATCATATTCATGATGAGTCTAAAATTTAATACTGTTCTCAATAGAATTTGAATGATTTTGTACGTTTACGATATCCTATCTGTAGCAAATTACATTCGATGAAACTGCTAATGACACTGCACAAAATCAACCAACCCAAAATGACAGCAAGGATCATCAACTTTTAACTGATGACTTGACTAATGAAATAATAGAATTGAAAAAAGTTATCGTCAGTAGAGACGAAGAGTACCAATCAGAAAAATTAAAAATTCAAGATGAAAAAAATCAACTGGCTGAGTTGGCCACAGAAAAGGATCAAGAGATTTCTCATTTACAAGAAATTTTGAGGATCAAGAATGAGGAAATAGTAAATGAAAAAAATCAGTTAACCTCATTCATATCTTTAAAAGAACAGCAAATAGAACAAATAAAGGATAGTTTTAATAAAGAAAAAGAGGACAGCATTCAGTCTCAATTTAGACAAGAAAGATTACTGTCAGAAAAAGATGAGGAATTAATTGATATGCAAGGGGAATTATTAGCTGCCAGGAATACTATATCGGATACACTAGCTGAAATGGATGAATTAGTTAACTCTAAAAATGAAGAGATTGAATTCTTACAAGAAGAGGTAATGGCAATAGCAAGTTTACTTACGCATAGTGATCTACAAATTTTATCTTTAAAATATGTAATTTTCACGATTTTAAACCTTTTTGTAAATGGAAATTAATTTGTTTTTAATCTAAATTTAACAAGATACAAATGCACCATGCTAAAACATTAGCAATGAAACAAGTCTATGAAGATCAATTGAATGCACTTCAAAGTGAGATGGATGAAGAAATAGAACAAGTCAAGGAAGATAATAGGCAATTGACTTTACAGAAACAAGATCTCACTGTTGCTATCTACAATACTCAGCAAAAGTACTCGATCATCAATGAGGATTATAAGACATTAAAAATAGAATTTTCTCAATATCAACAATTTTTACAGGCCGAATACGCCAACATGCAACATAAGGTAATTAGTTTTCCATCAATTCTTGTTCAAACAATATTTTATATATTTATCCTTAGTTTGCTCTCTAAGTATTCCGTTTTATAATGATATGCAATCACCTAACTATACCGCATTGAATTGAATTTGCGATATATCAGATTATGGACTCGATTAAAGAAGCTGCCGATGTTAATGTCGAGCTACTACATCGCTATCAAAAAGAAATGAGATTAAGGAAGAAATACCATAATGAATTAGTTGAATTAAAGGGTAATATTCGTGTTATGTGTCGTATTCGACCCGCAATTGACCAAGATGGTCCTGAACCCGAAAACATTATCAGCTTTGACAAAACTGATGATAGTATAATCAATGTCGCCTACCGTGGTAGTAAGAAAATATTTGAACTAGATCATATCTTCAAACCAAATGCAACTCAAGTTGAGGTAAGCCAAGATATAAAAAACGTAGAGCAAGAAGCGATCAATGACAATTTTTATAAGTTCCTATAATTTGTCCTGTTATATGAATATCTTGAAACAAAATATCTATATTAATTAGAAGAATTACTTATACCTTTACTAACTAATCATCTTTCTATAAATAACTTTCTTTATGTATTAGGTATTCCATGAGGTTGGCAATCTTATTACGTCTTGCGTAGATGGCTTTAATGTGTGTATATTCGCCTACGGCCAAACTGGAAGTGGTAAAACCTATACAATGGAGGTAAAACTGTTAATTAAACAAATACTTACGTTTTAAAGAACAGTATCTTAGAAAATCAATCATAATTCTGTATGTCATGATGTAATTATTCTAGGGTCCACCTGATGATCATGGAATCTATCAACGTTCTCTATTAAAAATATTTCATGAAATTGAAGAGCGAAAACCACATTGGAACTATCAAGTCTTTGTTTCACTAACACAAATCTATAATGAATCATTACATGATTTACTTGGCAAAGATCCGATGGCAAAATTAGACATAAAGCAAAAAAAGGATGGTAGTGGTCTTTACGTTCCCAACCTTAACATTGTTGAAGTTAAATGTGTAAAAGATGTTAATAATGTATGTAAAACAATAATTACACCTGTTCTCTTCCAAAGTCAACTTAGTGTATTCCTTTTGCATTATCGCTACTTATTAAATAGCGTCAATTAAATATCAAGCTTGTAAACTGTTTCGGTTTTAAATACGAATTAATATCCTTATTCACTAGATACTTGAAGAAGGAGGCCGTAATAGGACAACAGCGGCTACCCAAGCTAACGTAGTATCTTCACGTAGCCACGCACTTTTATGCGTAGAAGTTATTGGTACCAATGCTAATAATACTGCAACTTCACAAGGTTAATTCTAAGGATAAATCTATAACTGTGTTATGAAAAAGGGCAGTAGTTTATGATATTAATTTTATTTAAAAATTTTATAGGCAAACTAAATCTTATAGATCTTGCTGGAAGTGAAAGAGTATCAAAAAGCGGTGCTGATGGAGAACGTTTGAAAGAGGCACAATATATTAACAAGTCATTATCGGCTTTAGGAGACGTAATTCATGCTCTTAGAAACAAAATAGCTCACATTCCATTTAGAAATTCGAAATTGACCTATTTGTTGAAAGATTCATTAAGTAAGTATAGTAGTGAAATTTAACCATTTCAATTATTAATTTTTGTTTATTGATTAATTAATGTTAATTTACTACATTTTTCTACAAAATGTCTGAATTGAATAACGCCATTAATTCTCACATTTTTGATACTAATAGGTGGTAATAGTAAAACATTAATGATGGTACAAGCGTCTCCAGCAGAGAAAAATGCAAGTGAAACAATGTGTTCTTTAAGTTTTGCACAAAGATTAAGAACGATTGCATTAGGAGCTGCACAAAAAAAGACAGAATCGATAGTAGACGTAAGTATTAAACAAAATAAAAATGCTTATTATAGGTGAATCCACTTGCTTGTTAAATATGTACCTGTATATGGATTTTTTAGTTTTTTTGCGGATATAAAACTTTCTATGTATCAAAGTTTTTGGATCTAATCTTATTAATTAATAAATTAGACATCCAATGGAAAAAAGGCAAAGAAAAAGTCAGCTAATCAGTAATATTTACAAGTATCTCAACACTAACGGTGGATGGAAATAGATCTATTCCATGCTATCTCTTAAACCTATATCAATAAGTTGATGTTAAATATATACCATACGCTAATTATTTTATCTACAGTACATCTACAGTTTGATATATTATAATTATTAATGCATGACGCGAATATGAAATTAACTTATGCGAAAAGAAAATCTTTACAAATTACCATGTCGGATTAATCACTGTATTAATACAGTTAATAATCTTTGTTTAATTTTATGAATTCAATTGAATAATAACATAGATAAAAGTTTTTTATGTCTCTCTCTATATATATCTATATGTATAAATGATGAACAAGCCAAGTGATTATATTAAAGATTCAAATATTGCATTAATTTTTACCTAATTGAAAAATCAGTGTTATAAACGTATTATTACACTTTATAATCGCATAATCTTTTTCTATTATTATGCTGTGGTGTCAATGAGTTAAGCGGCTATTGCAAATAATATATTAGGGTCTCATTGGGCATTATTATAATTTTATTCAGTATTTTTACTACCTAGGCCTAGGTTATAATTTTAGGAAGATACCTTAAGCTGCGATGATAACATCGGTTTCATCTATTTTACGACTATGCTATAGCTCTTTTTTGATGTGTTCATCAAACTATATTTAGCGATAATTATTTATACGAATGAAAATAATATTATCTGCTATGCAGTACGTATTTATTCTTCTGCATTTATCAGATATCCGATTTAGCTAGTAATGCTTTATAGCAATAAACTGGTTATAAGTGTTGATATAAATGTGATCATACGTGTATTTGCTACTTAAAATAGATAATACTATATTTTGTAGGCATTTTTACGTATTCCCGGATCTACCAGTGTATACTTAATTTTATGTATATAATTGATTAATCTTGCTGAATTTGATTGGTTCGTTTTGTTTACGACTAACATTATCAAACAAGATCATTTTCGTCCAATTTCGTTGATTAGTCTTGCTGTATCGATATATATTAGCAAAGCGTAGGCAAAACAAAATTTTAGTTGAGTTCACCTCGGCTATTATGCATAATAACCGGCTAAAGCCCGAAATTTGAATACTTTTGCCTTCAATTCGGGCTTCGCCGGCTATAATGCATATTAGCCGAGGTGAACTCATGTAACATATATACAGTATGTGTATAGCTATCTGTTTATAATGATGTTTACCTATACGCAAGTAAGTCATTAAGTTTGATACAAAGCAAATGGCTATACTACTAGATATCAGGTAGTCCATGGTATAATACCCTTCTCATAAGGAAAGATTTTGGATTATGCCTTAGGAAGAGGCACCGATCGCGTTTATTCAGATAGATCTAATGCTAATTTTGCTTCCCAAGCAATCGAGAGTATAGGCACTCTAACGTGGCCTCAAACATTACTAAAAACACTAAGTTGAAAATCCTAAGCTTCAATTCACTATACAATATCGTTAGTATTGTATACTGTATTCAATGTGGATCCTGGAGTGTGACCACCCCCACCAGCTAGACCCTAGACAATCTAGATACTCAAACAGGGTCTACGATACTAAGAAATTGACCAAAGTGAATTTCCTATGGCTCAGTTCTTTTTTTTACAAACTGACATGGGCATTTTGTTCATACTGTCTACTATATACAGTGTATAGTTCAGTATGCCAAGGCGTAATCAGTCATGCTGGTCGACTTGAAGCACATTTCGCTTTCTATTGCTTTAGTGCTGATACAGTAGTTTACAGCTGATACTTTTAAAGTATTCGCCAGGCGATACATTGATCTCTACTGAAGGTGTTGCTTGACCCACTTAACCCCCCCCCTTCCACCTGTTGCTAGCTCACCATCGTGCAACCTACGAAGAATCTTGCAATCATTGCAACTTAATTGCAATTTTATTCATTTCTGTATAAAGAAAATTACCTGTTAAAGTGAATAGTAGGAAAGGTTAACCATCGTTGGCAAGATGGCGGTAGCATTGAATAGCAAGTTACGCTTTTGCAGCTTCTTAATACGTGCATTACCAATCAGGCGAAATGACTTTGTCAATCGACAGATCAATTTCAATCAGAGCTACTACCCGATGCAGCAATGGCTTCGATATTATGCTAAGAAAAGTAAGTACTAGCTGGATGTTAGTGACAATGGTTAGTCTTATTAAATTACCGAGATATAGACACATCTTAGATGGTAGCTGGCTGTATCTCATAATGTGTGTCATATGCTGTAATATCTGCCCAAGGTGCAAGGCATTTCATTGCTCTGCACATGCATAGTAGAAAATAATGCCTACGATACAGTACTGTACGATAAAAAACAGTCATTCCCTAACTTCATTTTCACAGTGATGTTAGATATTGTTTACCCCGTGTATGATAGAACGATAATGCAATTAAGTTACCTAGATATCAGCTAATATAAATCTCACCTTCCCTTAACTTTCTTTCTGATAAAGGCAAGAAACAAGAAAAGAAACTATCTCAACTTGCATTCGATGACGATATGATCAGTTTTAGTGAAATGAAGATAAAGCTAGAAGGGATAGTAGATGGCCTGGCGCGAGAATACAGTAATATCCTTGTATCTAGAATCACTCCAGGTTTGTTTTTAGACGAAGTTATGAAAATGTTGTATGATTGCACCATTTTAATCTTTGTGATAGCGGTTGCTATTTCTTGCGAATTTCTTTCCAACTTAAAGCACTAATTGGATGAATGCTAATGTATGTCGATAGAAAATTTAAATCGTATATCAGTCCAAACTAATGATGGTAAAGTGCCACTAAAACAGTTAGGTCAAGTAACTTCAACGTCTCCCCAGCTCTTACATATATCATTAGCAGCTTTCCCTGAGGTACACATATCTGTACTTGTAAAATAGTTTCAATTTCCAGATAAACTTTACATAATCATACCTATCCACTGCTAATTGCTAATCAATACTTTGTAAAGTTACAATGATTTCTCCTTCTACACTTATATCATTATATCAATCATTTGATTTAGGTCGTGAATAATGCTGCTATCGCAATTAGGAACGCCGGTCTTAATTTGAATCCAATTGTAGATGGACCGTCCTTAAAAGTTCCAATACCAAAGTAAGTTATGTGAATGTATATCAAATAAACAATCCATATTCATATTTAATTTAGTATTGTGAAATGATAACAATCATCAAGCGATGGTAATATTATTAATCAAGTATTTATATATATAACTGAGCAAATACCCATACTTTATTTCAGAATGACAAAAGAACAAAGAGAAAAGATTGTAAAAACTGCCAAATCTAGCTGCGATAAAGCTAAAGTCAACATTAGACGGGTTAGGCAAAACTATATGAACGATTTAAAGAAACTGAAAGGGGTTTCCGAGGATGATGTTTATGATACAAAGGATAAGGTAATGATAGATATACTGTATTGCTTTCGAATCTATTTATAATTTCAGAAGGGAAAGATAGTTGAATAAAGCGCATGCAGTATTGTTTATACGTATATATGTTATTATTTCAGATTCAGGCCATGACTGATAACTACTCTAATAAATTGGATAGTCTCTTTACGACAAAGAGTGATGATGTACTAAGGAAGTAGGAAATTTCCTGTGTTCACTTGCTATTTCATCTGGTGACGATTGATTTGTAAAATTAAATTGAAGCTGCAGTTATTTCAAGCTGGATCGCATTCAATATATGACGGATTACGCTTAGATACACTATTTTTAATTGAGCTTGCAATTTAGCCATTGCAACTTATCATGTACAGTACTATCTTGACAATTTAGCCATACTATAGATTTATTTTCTTTAGAGTATAACTGTGCTATTGTTAACTAATCCTGAATGCTACCATGCAATCTCTATTGTTCGTTTTCAGTTAGCTAGCACTTTCAATTTCAAACATTTTTATTTATTAGGTATATGTCTTTTTTTCTCTCTCTCTATATATATGCCGGAATATGTATGTCTGTTAAAAAAAGCAGCTGGAAATAATGTTGCACATACATATTAAGATCTAAGTCACAACTTACCACTATTTTAACAATGCCAATCCTACATTGTTTATGACAACTAAGGAATTTTAGCGAAGGTTTTAAGCACACTATCGTAGCTGACATATCACCTAAGCACTACTCATATGCTTCGTAGTTATTATACAACGTAATATGCCTTAACAATACCATGTAAATCAATAATAATTATTATCATAGCATAGTGTATTCTGTACATGTATTATATGATATAATGCATAAAATAGAGGTACGACAAAAGCAGCAAATATTCAATACAAGATATACTTTTTGCAGTCATACTGAAGGCAATAAATAAGTTAAAATTAAACTGGAAAAAAAATAACAAATAGCAAAATGAAGTGGAAACACAGATTTAAATGCAAACTCTGCTACTATACAAATATTATGTAGTATCATATACAAATATATTTCACATTTGAATGATTATTATTTAATAAATTTTTAAGCAGAATAAGTTGCTAATATTCTTATCTGCGTCCGAAAAAAAGCGCTAATAACATTTACGACCTATTACATCAGATGGTAAAATTTTTTCCTAAAATTTTAGAGCGCCTATAGTTGTAGGCATGAATGTTAGTGAACTTCTATATACCAGGGCTAAATGAAATTAATGATTGACACCTGCCAATTGCATTTGGCCTTTACTCTCACAAGTTTACTTTTAAAAATAGGAAAAAAAATCACGCGTTTATTCTATGCTATTTACTTGCTTTATAAGGGCCAAGGATTATCAATTTTGAAAAGCATTTCTCTACCTCTATATTAATGTCTATTATATTATTGCATATTCTATATCTACATTTATCATCTACAGTCTATGACTTCTATCTATTAACTACATTATTGCTACCCAATTTTCTTGTAGTAAACGAGATAAATACCAGAGTAAGAATAATAACTGCTACATATGTTGATGTATACTATTCAATTTGATTGACCATGTGCATTGGATTATACATTTTCACTCTTACTAGGTATATCTTCGACAGATGGTGTATTATAAATATCCGCTAGATGTTTAAATCGTGGTCCCCATACATTCAAATAACTAAATGATGCTTGATCATCTTCCATAACTTCATCATCTTCAATCACTTCTAGCGAGCTCAATGATCCAGCAGGGGTACTTTTACCTTCATCAGCATAGTATTTGACAGAATCATCTCGCACGTATCGTTTCATTAATTCATCTGGATCGATCGATTTCGATGAAGGCAAACCATTCTTAATTACAACACTTCCATTGGACATTTGTCGTAGATTATAAGAATAAGATCTTTTAGATGAATTACTGGGTGATAATGGTATCTTAACCGGTAAAGAACTTATTGAATCAGGTAATGGATTCTTTAATATATTAAGATCGTAATTATCGACATCATCTTCGCCACCACCTTCGATTCGATAGGTTGCAATATTAGCACTGCCTTTTTTGGCATACTCTAATTTTTCACGAATTTTTCGCTTATTACGCGATTGTATAATAAGACAAATTATAAGAATGCATAAAAATGCTAATATAGCACCACCACCAATTCCTGAATAAGTGAGAATTTCTTGCATTTGAACAGCTGGACCACCAAATTGACATTCTGGGCCAAAGTGACCATGATGACATGAGCATTGAAATTGACTATTAGCTATATTACAAGTGCCATTATTTTGACAAGGATTTCTCGTTCGACAAATATCAATACACCTATGAGCATCCCATAAATCATCGCAATACAAATTTGATGGACACACGGATTTACGAATGCAGCCCATTGAACGACATCCAAGATAGATACTATCAACGAAATCTTGAGTAACTCCACTAACTGATTGATTGGCTAAAATTGTTCTTCCGTTATAACGAAAATCATCGACGCAACCCATGAAATTTTCTGATGAATTAGTCCTTATATTAAATCTTTCAGGAACACCACCAAAGTATAACTGATACCTTTCACTACCGGAAATAATTAATAATTGATCTTGGCTTGCATCGGATAGTTGAAAGTACTTGATTTTATTATTAACTTTTAACGATGCAACGTTGCCAATACGTTCAGCCGTAATTAGACACCAGGTACCCTGATCGCATGCTACATCAATAGTTGTACTTTGAGCAGGATAGCTTGGTAATTGGACGATATATCTAATACTTCCATTGACCATCTGTGATATTAGGAAGATGCATGAAATGTTAAAGATAGTTATTGATATAGTTAGTACATAATGTTCCGTAATTACCAAAAAATCAAGGCAAATATCTAGTTTTTAAGTCAAGATTCAGTTTTACTTAATGAGTTTATAATTTACCTGAATCATTTCCAAACTATTTGAGCTACCGGTATCGACGAAAAGTAGCAAAGAATTAGAACGATCTCGGGTTATAACTTTAAACTCGAATTTACTGTAAGTAACGGTCCATAATTGGCTGATATCATAGCGTATATAGCCTCGAGTATTATTAGGAATACGAGCCGAAACAGTTTCTGAAAAGTTAAAAGAAAATAATATTGCCTCTAGTTAATCATTTCATCGAGCTTTGCTAGCTGATTGTGCAATTTGCGCTTACGTTTTAGAAAGAAATTAATAACCATCATGCATCGATTTATTTTATATATAGAACGCATCTGACATTACCACATAGAATAGATATCAAAAGGAATTTAATGTATAACTTACTTATTTGACAGCTGTCGCCACTATACCCTAGATTACATTCGCAAATACTTCTCGACCAGGATCGGACACATTTGCCATTATTATTGCAACTACTCGAACATTCGGTAGTCGAAGAGCAATAACGGCTTGTACGTGATTCTCTTAACGGGTTGTCCAAATCTTGTAATTCTCCATTAACTTTAAAATTTCGAATACAACCTTGATATGACGGTACACGCAGATTTTTATTTTGGACAATGTAAGCATCAATATAAAGTCCACCAAGTTGTACAGGTGCATTTCCTGCGATATATCTATAAATGAAAGAACTTTTTGATTAAAAATCTCTCTAGCTAAAGTTATCCTAAAAGTTATACGATTACATTATTTCGATGAAGTTTAAATGATTCTACAACACTGTTAGTGTATCTTTATATAGATGGCGTAAATTTTGTTAAATCAGATCATTATATTAAATTATTTCAAATTTATTATTCATGATGAATACCTAGCTGCCACTGGTAGAATTCTACTCGCTGAACATTTACTTCGATCTTGAGCTAACGTCCCATTAACATCAATCAGTGGTGCTTTTAAGCAATCATCGACGATAACACTGAGAATCTGCAATTACAATTTTATAATTATGTAAATTGATTAAATAACAAAATCTATTTCAAAGCAGATATGGAACTATACATGTATTCTAACTGATCGTAGGAATATTGAATCTAATTTGCGGTGTCATAATTATCGTGATCGGTTTCGAACAAATACAAAACAATATCCTATACTATTTGTATGAATACCTTGCCATCATATTGAAATTTAACTTTATGCCAACGACCGTCATTTAAGTTACCATTCGCTACAACTAAGGTGCCTGATGCAGCAGAATTGCTTGATGTTGAAACGGAAAAGATCACTTCAATTCTTCCACCAATTAATTCAATAGCGAGGAAATTACCATTACTACCAGAGACTGGACCAGTATATAATAATAAACCTTCACTATTGGTCGTTGTAAATTCCATTTCAAGCGTTAATTGATTACACTTCGGTAATGAGCGTAGCCAGAAATAAGAATTGCCTTGGAAACTACGTGTTCTCCATTGACAATATTGGCCATCATAACCTGGCAGACATTGGCATATTGCACCTGCTGTCTGACTTTGTTGGCATTTGCCATTATGAAGGCATGGTAAATGATTCGCTTGGCAATTTTGTAGGACTGGTATAAAATTACATTGATAGCAAACTGGTTTAACGACAACGTCAACACCAGTAAATGATTTACTACCAGGACTAACAAAATTAATTGAATTATTAGTAGTAACATTAGTCCTACAACCACTTAAGCAATTATTGGTTTGGCAGGCATCGACACCAATTTGATTAATGTATAAACCAGTTTGTTCTTCTAGTGAAGCTTTCTGCATCATTAAACGACTTTCAATAACATCTTTAGCATAATATGGACTGCCATGAGCTGCAAACATGATATCGATAGCTTGAGCAGTGGATTGTGATGGATTAGCTGCTTGTACATTAATAATATCCACAATAATTGGTGTAGTAGTCCGTAAGATATTTGCAACAGCTTTACGGAATGATTCGTAATAATAAGATACAAAATCGTTAGGATTAATACCAGCAGCTTGGATCGATGCAATATTGATTAATGCATCTGTTGAACGTGATTCTGATTTAATAACTACGCTGGAGGTAACATCAGCAAATTTACCATCACTAACACGAACTGACAAACGGAATTCTTTATTCATAGGTAGACCAGGTCGACAGTAAATCATGCCATTTGTTCGATTGATTGAAAACCATCTTTCTTCATTCCCACTAATAATGGAATAATTCTTTTGATTACGGTCGTCATCAGGGTCAGGACTATAGACGTAGCCAACATTGCCACCATTAAATTTATCATTATAGCCTACAATATCGATATTGACAATACCAGTACGATGTTGATTATCATTTTCATCCATAACCGTAACTAAAACTTGTGTTACTGCACTCATCGGTGGTATACCACTATCGGTTGCTCGAACCGTTAATCGATATTGGCTCTTTTTCTCACGATCAAATAATCGATCGATAGTTTGTAAGACCCCAGTGCGAGAATCTAAGGTAAAATGACGTGTATCATTATCCGATCCAAGCAAGGTAAAGGTAAATGGTGCACCATTATTAGCAGAATCAGGATCGATTGCTTTTAATTGGGTCACATTTTGTGTTTTTTTCCTATTTTCCATAATTTTACCATGATAACGTAAAGGTATAAAAACTGGCCCATTATCATTAACATCGTCTAAGTAGACATAAACTGGTATTTCACTATATAGCGGTGGTTGTCCACGATCTGTTGCTCGGACAGTTAAGGTATAGTAATGATCAGGGATTAATTTACTTTCACGATCGAGTGGCAACCTAACAGTAATAACACCCGTTAATGGATCGATTGCAAAGGATTGAATTGGATCGCCAGCAACGATAGAATAGAAGAGTTCCCCATTACGACCTTGCTCTGGATCGCTTGCAATAACTTGAGTCACAAATAAACCAGGTCGAGCTGCTTCACTAATGGTAATATTTTGACTGGTTGGATTAGTAAATCGTGGTGGTATATCATTAAAATCGCCAATATAGATTTCAATATAAGCAGTGTCTTTCAACGTTGGTACACCACGATCTTGGACCATAACCGTTAAATTATAAAATTGCTTGGATTCATAATCTAATTTATTCTCACTGACGGTTAGCAAACCACTTTCAGCATCGACAGCAAATTGAACTGGTGTATTACCTGAGATGATAGAATAAAGTAGAGCTCCATTAGAGCCAATATCATTATCGCTTGCCTCTAAACGTAGTATTGGAAATCCTAATGGTGCATGTTCTGATATATTGGCTGAAAACATAGAAGTTTTAAAATGGGGTGAGTGATCATTCGAATCGGTGACTTGGATTAATACGTTAACTTGTCCTGATAATGGTGGTTGGCCACGATCTGTAGCCCTTACGATAACTGTATAATTGGCCACTGCTTCACGATCAAGTTGGCGTTGTGTCTTAATCATACCATTATCAGCATCGATAGTAAAAGTACCATCAGCATCATCGACTAAGCTATAAATAAATCGTGAATTATTGCCAATATCATTATCAAGTGCAGTAACTGGTCGTACATTAACGGGTGGAGGAGCATTTTCTAGTGCATAACCAATATAAGGTTGATCAGGGAAATAAGGTCTTTCATCGTTAACATCATCGAGATAAACTCGACAATCAGCAAAACTAGATAATTGTGGTTCGCCATTATCGGTAGCAACACAACTAAATTCGTAGACATCTTTGGTTTCACGATCCAATCGTGCATTAGTTTTAACTACACCAGTTTGCTCGACAATAAATAATGGTGGATCGACATCGGTAATACCTTGACCTCTTAAGCTATAAGTTAAGAGATTACCAACTGTTTTATCGGGATCTGTTGCGTAAATGTTGAATAACGTTGTACCTATTGGTGTATCCTCTTTTATTCGTGCTGTGTAGCTAAATTTAGTAAATTGTGGACGGTTATCATTGACATCCGTAACGCTAATATTAACAATCGTTGTACCATAGAAGCGTCCATCGAATGCTTGCAATGTTAACGAATAACTTGTTTCTTTTTCGTAATTTAAATATTTCTCAACAGTAATACGACCGTTATTATCCACAGCAAAGCGGCTGTCATGATTTCCTTTAATAAAGAAATAGGATAATTTCGTATTCTCACTGGAATCTTCATCGGTAGCAGTAACAGTGGTGACAACATAGCCAGTTTCCACATTTTCAGCTACCGTTGCCGTATAATATTGCTCTGCAAATCGAGGTGGTGAATCATTGACATCTAATATTTGGACACGAACAGAGGAAGTTGAAGATTGCGGTGGTTTTCCATTATCCGTTGCTTTGACGATGACAGTATAATATCGTAAAGAACTTTCACGATCGAAAACTACTGCAGTTCGAATTTGTCCAGTACGCGCATTAATTAAAAATTTACCTCGTGATGCAGGTATATCTTCAACAAGTGAATAAATAATTAATGTACTACTATTACCATCACGATCGATCGCTTTAATTTGATTGCCTTCTAACGGAGTACCAACAGGTGTATTTTCGCGTACATATTGAGAATATAAGGCCAATGTAAATCGTGGTGGATTATCATTAACATCGATAATTTGAATAATCACCGTAGAGAAGGTGGTTACTTGTTGATTGCCATTATCTAAGCGTCCAATTACTTTTAATTCAAATTGGGGTGTAACTTCATAATCTAAGCTATCTGTAACACCAATTTGACCAGTAATAATATTAATACTAAATTTAGGTGGATTATTGGTTTTGGGTAGATTGCCTGGCTCAAGAGCATACGTTGCAATCCATGCATTGCTATCATCACCAGCCATATAGGCATTAACGGTAGCTACTATTGTACCAACATTGGCACTTTCAACAATTTGAGCTTGATAGCGATCTTGTGTAAATCGAGCAGCGTTATTAGTTTGGACTTGGATGACCACTGGTGCAACACTTTGTAATGGTGGTTGACCATTATCGATTGCAACAGCTAAAAATCGATATTCACGCTTATTGCCATCTAATGAACGCGCTGTTGATAGGATACCATTAGTTGGATCAATTTGGAAGTATAAGGCATCATCTGATTGATCCAATGAATAAGTAACAGCACCACTATTGCCAGTATCATTATCCGATGCTACTAAAGTGATAATACGTGTATTAATGGGTACATTTAATAGCACCGAGCCGAAATATTGCTTAAATTCAAAGCTTGGTGAATTATCATTAATATCTGTAACGCGTACATTAAATGTGCAAAAACCACTCATGACTTCAGATAAACTGCTGTTATTGCCACCATCAGTGGCACGTACAGTAATCGAATATAGCGATTGCCTTTCGCGATCAAATTCACGATTGGTTGTGATAGCCCCTGTTTTGGCATCGATGTTGAAATGTTTAGGCTGGTTAGCATCAAGAACTAAGGAATAAGAAATAAGACCAAATGAACCTTCATCATCATCGCTTGCTGTAACAGTAAGAACTGTTGAGCCAGAAGGTTGATGTTCAGCTATCGTCGGTGCATAAGTATTGCATTGAGTAAAGACTGGTTTATGATCGTTAATATCATTAATATCAATGATGACATTGGTATAACCAGTTAATCGTGAATCTGATGCAGCTACTCTTAACGAATAGCTACGCTGACGGAAATTAGGATTAGGATTACTACGTAAACGTATGACACCAGAAACAGAATCGATGACAAAATTGCCTTCTGTATTGCCACCAATGATAGTATAAGTTATGACTTTACTGTCTAAATCGAATGCAATGACTGTGGCTACTGTTTCACCACCAGGTGCATTTTCATCAACGCTAAAACGATAATTTTCTAATGAAAATTTGGGTGCTTCATCATTCGTATCGATAACTGGGATAGTTACACGAGCTTGACTAGAGCGTGATGGTGTTCCTAAATCTTGAACAGTGACAATAAAACTGTAGACTTGTTTATTTTCATAATTGAGCTGTTTACTAATTTCGACAGCACCGCTAACTTCGTCAATTTTAAAATATTCACTTTGGATAGAATAGCGTAATTGGCCACTGGTACCACTATCGCAATCGGTTGCACTAACTTGAACAACTTGGGTACCAACGGAAGCGGTTTCAGGTATAGCTTGGCTCGGTTCATATTCAGTTTTTGTAAATTGTGGTGTACAATCATTCGAATCGGTAATAGTAATGGTCGCTTGGACTTGCGATGACAGAGGATTTGCTTCACTTTCTGTTGCACGAATAGTTAATGTATAATCATGTTGATCATTTTCATAATCTAGGCCGAAAGGTGCTGTAATTAAACCAGTATCTGCATTAATAGTAAAGCGTGAATTAACATTCCCATTTAGAATGGAGTAAATAATACCACGACCTGAAAAACTAATAGCACGAACAGTTAAGATTGGTAAATTACGCAGTTGGCTTTCAGCAACCGTAGCTCGATAACGAGATTGTGTAAATTGTGGTGGACGATTTTCAACACGCACTAATATAACCGCATCATCGCTCGTTTGTGGTGGATTGCCTTTATCCACAGCTCGAACAACTAATTGAATTCGTTGGCCTAATTGCAATTTTGCACCTGTAGTTGTAATCACACCTGTTACTGGATTAACACTAAATGGGCCCGATGATGATGGATCTAATTGGTACTCGACTAGGCTATTACTTCCTTCATCGGCATCTGATGCACGTAAACGATAAACAGATGTGCCTACAACAGCATTTTCATTCACTGTTGCTTCATATGGTGCTGGCATGGTAAAAATTGGCTTGTTATCGTTAAAATCGATAACAGTAACTTCGACTATCCGTGTAGTAAAATCAATCCCCGATGTAATCGGTGATACTTGTGTTATTAATTTATATTTCATATTAGCTTCACGATCGATCGTAGCACCAACAGTGATCAGACCCGTTCTTGGATTAATTTTAAATTGTGTAATATTAGGGAATGCAATTATAAAATAAGGATTGGTTAATGTTGTCGTTAATTTAGTCACAGTTGTATCAATAGGTGAATTTTCTCGTACAGCAACTTGCTGTGCTTGATTAGATGGTGGTAAATTAATAATAATGACACAAGCTGTTGCTTGACTTCGTTTCGATGGTTTACCATTGTCGATCGCTGATACTTGAAAACGATAGGGACTAAGAACACCACGCATTAATTTTAAGTTGGTAATAACACCTGTTCTGCTATTAATTGCAAAATGTTCTTTAGCTGAATTGGTATCAATCTGATAATTAATAGTATTTTCCGAGGAATTATCATAATCAATAGCTTGCAATTGCATAATTGTACTACCGATAGGAATACCAATATCGACTTCACTTGGTAATTCGCCATATTGGAGATGGTTAAATAAAGGTGTATATTCATTTTCATCGGTAACGGATATCGTGACTTTAATATCAGAATCACGTCCACTAATATCTGTAGCACGTACAATTAAATCAAATGTATTCTCCTTTTCATAATCTAGCGGTTTCCGTGTTGTAATCCAGCCATTACCACTATTAATTGCAAAAGCATCGGAAGTATCACCAGATACAATTTGATAGCGTATACGATCATTGCTTAATGCACGGGTTTGGACTACTTCTGTATTTGCTAGCATATTCTCACGTACATAACCCAAAAAATTAGCCTGGACAAAATAAGGTGGTGTTACAGGTGGAAAATTAATACCAATAAATAATGTTACTTCATCATATTTGGGTGTAGTCCCGCCATCTGTTGCTCGAATAGTTAATCCATATTGGAAATCGATACGATTTAATGGTTTAACTACTTTAACATCGCCTGTAATCGAATCAACATCGAAACGACCTTCTTTGCTTGCGTCTTCAACTAAGCTGTAAGTAACACGACCATTAGCACCATCATCAGGATCAGTAGCAGTTAAACGAGCAATCACTTTACCTACAGGAACAGTGACAAAAATAAAGCGAAATTTGGGTGTATCAGCAACAAATTGGGGCTTATTATCATTGCGATCATCGACGGCAACTTGAACGCGTGCTAGCGATTGCCGACTTGGTGTACCACCATCGACAGCTCGAATTGTTATACTATGATGGCGTTGTTGCTCATAATCTAAGCTACGTCGTGTCCGTATAACGGCTGTTTTGGGATCAATTGCAAAATAACTATTCGATTGTGGACTACCAAAGCTATCGATACTATAGGTAATTTGGCCATTATTGCCATGGTCAGGATCAGTAGCATTCATTTGAATTAATGTGGTACCAACAGGCGCATCTTCACCAATTTTTGTATAATAACTTGTCTGAGAAAATTCAGGCGGATGATCATTAACATCACGTAATGTAACCATTACACTAGCACGAGCTGTTGTATAGCCAAGACGACCTTGCATGGTAATAACTAATTGATCTTGTGCTATTTGCTCTAAATCAAGTCGACGTTGCAATGTCACTCTCATTCTTTGATCGATACAGAAATAAGACTGGTATGCAGATGGCAAGAATGAAAATTGAGGTGTTTTCTGCTTGCTAATAACATCAAATTCTTTAATTAAATAACCGATAGGTGAATTCTCAGATATTGTAGCAGTGTAACTAGGTCTTGAAAAGCTTAATGTAGTCTCGGTATTAATTTGTATTTTAACCAGGATAACAGTCGATCTCGGTGGCACACCTGAATCGGATGCAATAACATTCAAGAAATAACCATCAGCTGGCACATTAATACCACTTAGGATTTTGGCTGTAGTTATAATGCCCGTTGTTGCATTAACATGGAATTTGTCTAAATGATCACGCGATGAATAACGTATAATACCATTGGTACCCATATCACGATCATAAGCTTGGACTTGAGATACAAAGGTTCCACTAGGCCAATTTTGTTCAATACGAACTTCATGTGGAATTTGCCCAATAAATTGAGGTACAGCATCATTACGATCTAATACATCAACGCGAAAGTTAACATTGGCTGTCATAATATAACTTGTTTGAGATGGATCAGGTAAATATTTAGCACGGATAACTAAATTATATTGATGATGTTTCTCGAAATCTAATTCTTTAACTAATGATAGGCTAGCTGTTTGTGTATTAATTCGAAATGTGTTGCCAAAATTACCACCAACAATACTATAAGTTATACCATTGGAATTTCCACTTGGATTAAGCGCTTGAATATCGTTAAAGAAATTATTTTTAGGTACCATATCTTCACCAACAGCAATTTGATATAACGTACGATTAAATCGAATTAATTTTTGTGATAGTGGTATAATAGTTAGAAAAATGGTAACACTGGATGTCTTCGGTGTTGAGCCATGATCGCGAGCCAATACAGAGAAAGATAACGGTGTTTTAGAATGATTTAAGCCATATCGGCTTGTCACTTCTCCAGTTGTTGCATTAACTTGAAATCCTGGATAAGGTGGTTTAGATGGATCAGGAAAGGAATACGTAATTTGTCCATGGCTACCTTGGTCTTCATCCGTAGCTCGCAATTGCATCACTGTATAAAGTGGCGTTTGCTGTGGCGATGAACGAGCATTCAATGTAATCCAATAAGGTGATTGGCTAAATATTGGATAGTGATTATTGGCATCTTCAATGCGTACAATAACAGGAACGGTTGCGGATAAAGCAGTTGCAATATCTAATGCACGTATGCGAAATTCATATAATTGACGCCGACGATAATCCAGTTGATCGTTATTTTTAACACTAATTTGAGCTGTTGATGGATCAATTTGAAGTGTTGCATCAGTTGATGGATCAGGATCAACAAGAGAATAACGCAATACTGATGATTGTTCTGATCTAGCTGGTATGGTAATAACAACTTGGCTAATGCCAGCATCATCAGGTAAATTAGCTTGATAATAACTTTGATCAAAATAAGGTGGATCACTTTTATCCGTAACTTGAATATCCACTTGGACACTCGTTGATCGACGAGGTGTACCATGATCAACAGCGCGTACGATGAGTAAGTAACTTGAACGTTGTTCATAATTTAAATTTTGAGCGGATAATAAACCTGTTTGTGAATGAATACTAAATAACCCATCGCTATTGCCACCAGTAATGGAATAGATAATGCGTGCATTGTCACCTTCATCATGATCAACAGCATGAATGCAAAGTAAGTTAGGATTATAGCCCATATTTTCCGGTACCTCTATGAAATAATTAGAGCTTGTAAATTCTGGCATGTTATCGTTAATATCGACAACACGAATAGTTAATAATGTCGATGTTTGAGCTGATGTAATCACTCTTAATTCATAATAAGATCGTAATTCACGATCTAATGGACGTAAGGTTCGAACTATACCATCATTGGCTGAGATACTGAAGGTAGGTGGATTTGTTATTGTACTTGGATCAAGGCTATAAGTTACGATAGCATTAGATGGACTATCAATATCAATAGCACGAACAACAGTGACAAATGAATTAGGAGGTAACGATTCTGGCAAGGATGTATTATAAACAACTTGTTCAAATTGTGGTGTATTATCGTCGACATCAACAATTTGAACAATTGTACGACATATTGTTGAACGACTTGGTGTACCACCATCTCGAGCTTGTATAGTTAGCCAATATTGAGTAGTAAATTCATAATCTAATATGCGTGTTGTCCTCACAATTCCTGTATTCGATTCAATGGTAAAATAGCCAAAATAGGGAGTAGCTGATAGAATGGAATAGGTAATTTGTCCATCTTCATTATTGTCTTGATCTCGTGCAGTCACTTTTAACACTGATGTATCGAGTGCTGTATCTTCTTTAATGACCGCTGAATAAATAGGCTGAGTAAATTGTGGTTGATTTTTATTTAAATTTTGATGATAGACTTGGATATTGACATCAGCAATACTAGCGCGTCGTGGTAGAAGTCTATCTCGAGCTTGGACTTGAAAGGTATAACGGCGAACTTGCAATTCACCAACTAATCGAATGGCACCTGTATTGCGATCGATTGTCCATATATTCGATTGGCTACCAGCGGCAATCATGCTGTAGATTAATCGATCATTACTGGATCCAGCATAAGAGTCGAACGCACGCGCTACTAAAATAACAGAATGAGGAGGTAAATCGACATCAAGATTAGAATAATAAGTAGATTGAGTAAATTGTGGAGGTTTGGATTCATCGATGGTGTTATTTCCACTACTTGTTAAGGTCGATGGATAATTAGTCACATCATTAATATGGATTATAACTTGAGTTGGTATCGCTTTAAAGGATGGTTGGCCACGATCGACTGCATTAATTCTAAATTGATAGCGTCGACGACGTTGATAATTTAATGGTGTTAATAAAGTAATTGCTCCAGTGCGATAATCAAGCATGAAATCATTTAATGGCAGTTCTGGATAGTAATAGATTTGCCCATTATAATCATCATCGTTATCATAAGCTGTTACACTGCCAATCGATGACATAACGGGTATATTTTCATCAACGTGAAAGGTATAATTTTGCGATGTAAACGTTGGTCTCATATCGTTAATGTCCAGAACGACAAGATGGACGATAGCTGTAGCAGAACGTGGTGGTTTACCAGTATCCTGAGCACGAATGGTTAATTGATAAGTAGATTGCTCTTCACGGTTTAATACTGCCCGTGTCGTTAGTGTTAAGAATGCAATCCCATGGATGCGATTAACTCTTGCAGCAAAATGATTCTGATCATCGCCTTGGATGATTTTATAATTATCGATACTGGTATCGTTGTCGGTTGCATAAGCGTTAATCAAACCTTTCACCATGGTCGATATGGGTTGATTTTCTGTAATATAACCTTCATATTGATTTTGCGAGAATACTGGTTTATGATCATTGCTATCAGTGATTACGATCGTTAACGGTGTTGCAGTACCGCCGCTTGTTTGGCTAATACGACGCAATAAGACAACAAGGTTAAATTGGCGTTGATTAAATTGTTGTTGTCGATTTAAATTTTTCTTAACCCTTAATTGACCTGCTGCTGATAATTCAAATAATTTAAGTGCTTCAACAGCGGATGGTTCTTGGTATATGCTATATAATTCGCCATTAGATGGCAATGGCATAGTATAAATACTGTAGCCGACATTGGCATCTTCGGGTACACGAACTGTAATTCCATAGCTTGAATGCGTTAATATCATCAAGTAGCAGATTACTAGCAATAAATAAGTGATCAAGTGATGAGAACCCATGGCTTGCAAAGATATGCTATTCTTTTAATAAATAAATAGAAACCAAAGTGAGCCCTATTTAATGTAGATGAAAGTGCAAGATTATTAGTTGAATAGACTATTTATAAAAGGTACAATTTAATTTCCACTGTTTGTCACTCGTAATCAGATATTTTAGTGAGCCATTTACAAAATCAGAATTGAACTTCAACAGCAATCTTTGAAGGCTTAATTTATTATTATCTGATCGGGTAAAATCAAAAGCGCTATTAAGTTCGTATTTAGGATTTTATGTCTGAGTCAAGCCTACTATCGCCAGATTTCTTTTGGAAGTCAGGAATATTATTTTATCATTTATAAAATCAAAATTTAACTGTGATTACCATTAATAATCGCTCATCTATGATTTAAATATACTGTACAGCGTACAGTATATTAATCACCCTAAAAATAATAATCACCGATACAATCATTAGAATTAAATGAAATCAATCACTGCAGAATAAATGACCCCTATTGTCGCTGCGGTTGATACTTATTCTATATATCGTAACTCTTTGCAGTGCACAAACTTCTTAAAGAACAGATTGGATAGCCGTCAAAGTTTTTAGTGATACTTCGATTGATATTAATACTACATTTCGGAACTTTTTCGAGTTCATAAAGTTCTGAAGGAATGGATTGGATAGCCGTCATGGCATTTCGTGATATCACTGTCCTCTTTTTCTGCCATTATAAAAGTATAATTTTATCTGACGAAAAACTACTAATCCTTCTTTTTCCATTCCATCATATGAAAAGATGAAAAGATGATTATGTTTCAGTAACCGTAAATTATGTTGAAATATTGCTCAATTCGTAATAAACTTAACTAGAGCTAAAGATTTGCCGCCGTAATCTTATTAAGACATTAAATTTATCATCTGATGATTATTTTTTTATTATTTAGTTAGAATACATGAAAAGCGATAAACTATTTTATTACGGTGATCAAATCGCCATACTTTGCAATCTGTTATATCGCTGTTAAGGCGAAAAGGGGGCGCGGCTCTATTTTCGTCGATAGAGTTATGCTCAAGCAAGAAAAGTGCTGATGGATTCATATCTTATGTATTTATTCGTGAAGAAAAAAGATCAGCAGATTATATCTCAATATTACTCTTTGCTACAGTACAATATACTGTATTACAGTTATAGTAAAATAAACTAATTTCCTATCGTCGATTTTAAATGATTATAAGAATTTCTATTTAGCTTCTATACTGGCTTATATTAGTTAATGTTTAAATCAATAACTAATGATTAATCTACAACCCATCTGTTATATTAAATTACTTAGATTTCCAAGTGATAAAATAAATGAAATTATCGACTGATTTACTGAGACGATCTTTTGCTCTATCTAGCCTTCAGGACATAATGTCGAAGTTAGGTGACTATACCCTTGTTTTGGCTATCAATTTTAATACTCCATGGAGTATACAATAATCTCTTTCTTCTGTATGAATATTATGTCAGGAGAGAACTCAACTTTAATTGCAGATCACTACGGCTTAGTAAAATTATAAGTTCCTTTAAATATGGTACGAAAGATTTACTTTTTTAAAATATGACGAGTCATGAATAATCATGCTATTAACTTAATGCCTTAAAAATCAGGTTGGATATTAATTGTGAGCTGAAAGATAGTTTGCCAGCATAAATTGAAGTCATCAAAACGTCAAGAAAGATAGGCACTTTTAAGTAGTGATAATTGATTCCGATATGTTATACGCGTATAGGCTAACGACTAATAGTGTTAAGAAAATAGAGCCAGGAGTTACTTTAAAAGTCTGAACTGTAAAGGCTTTGACTATTTTAATTAAAACATAGAAAGGCAATCGGATCGCGTTCATCATCAACATGGCTATTCCTTATCGTTTGATTAGCAATTAGCCTTCTATTACTCATAATGACGTAACTTATTCAAAACAAATAGTGAATTACCTTGGAAAACTGAAATTCTTAAAGCAATAATCATTTCAAATACAACGCAAAATAGCAGATTAGATAACTCTCATCAAGATCGCTATCCATCATTGTAAATTCTTTTACTTCTATGAAATAAAAGCAATCAGCGGCGATGATTTATCCGCCATTCTATGTTGACTAGAGTTATGAGAGTTTCATTACTCTCGTTATCATAATGTTGACTGTTAAATAATATTATGATCGTCGATTATATTGAACTCGACTTTCAATAACAATAAATAACATGTTGAAAAATTGATCAATTTATAATTTTCAATGATTGATATTTAGATAAAAGTAGTTAGATATTGGTAAATTACCGATAAAGTTTGATTATCTTATTCAATTTAGCTAGAAGGGTGTTTCCTATTGTCATCATCATAATACTGTACAATAAGTTGATCTCTTATCTAATCATATTTAACCGATAGAACAGATTTCACTAATCGACAATTTATTTCTTATGGATATGGTGAGATATCTGGTAGTCTATAAGGAAAAGATTAATCATCGTTCAATACAGATCTGGTTGTTTTCTCCATGATACAGTATATGACGATAGAGAACAGATCAAGTATTCACTGCTCAATTATGACTATAATAAATAAGCTAGCTAGTATTGAAGTCATAAATAGGAAGGAGTGGGTATGAATTGTATAATGGATTACTTAATCCATAGGATTTAAAGTTAAATTAGAATAAGCCTATTTTGATAAAGAGGATCCAATCTGGCTTAGTATTAGCACTTAAATTCTGAAAGATCTTTTTTTCATCATGCTAATGAACGATAGACGTATGATCTTACTGACTAGACTGATTAGCAACACAATAATTCAGTCTGTCTTTTGAAGGTCAAACAAAAACCTGCTTTCTCATTTTCATCAATAAATGCTTAGACACGTATGTTGCTTTAATTACTGCCCTATCTAAGCTAAATCATAGATGGGTTAAAAGCTAACCGTGCCATATTGACCCTATGGCAATTATATAGAATTGGAGATTGGAGAGAAAGGCTGTTTTGTCGATTTTTTTAACATTCTATACGATAATACATCTTGAAGGTCACATAAATTGGTCGTTTTTTATTAGTCGAATGTACGTTACCGGCACTGCTCTATCCTATATAGAATATCTAGAGTACGAAATTAATACAAAAGCTAATACAAATAGAAGTTGATCTATTCGTTCTTGATAACTTCTGTCAAGACTGGAAAGAGTATCTTATCCATCTATTGAATATAATCAATTACTGTAATCCTCATGACACAACTAGTAACCTTAACTTTATGATTATGACAGCCATATTTCACATGAAGAAGTTATAAAAAAGGAAAGCTTAACCGATCGTGCGGAATGACATCAAATTAAACATGGCATATTAAAAATCGATCATTTTTTCTAATTATCCTACTGAGAAATGATTACCTTGAGATAAGAGATAACAAGGCAACTTGATTGGTAAAGAATGTCTTGATAGAGACCACGCTGGTTATGGTCGACTATAAATCTTACCACAACGGTAATTCAAACTAGTTTCACCTGCTAGTCTCCTTTCTTTAATGGAGCACTTGAATAGTTGTACTACCTGACATCCGGGAAGGGGTAAAGGCAAGGAAATTAGATGAAAGTATTGGAAAAAT